AAGCGCGCTCGGAGCAGACCAAGGAGATCGATCGGGAGCGGGAGCAGCACAAGCGGGAAGAGGCCATACAGAACTTCAAAGCGCTGCTGTCAGACATGGTGAGGCACGGACAGGCCCCTCGGCTGGTCAGGGCAGGCTTGGGTTGGTGCTCCCTGTAAAAGCCTTTTGGCATTTGGAGCTCAGCTTATATAGAGGTGAAATCCCTTTGAGATTTCTGGCAGAGCTCCGGTTGTCTCTGGAAATAATAATCTTCGAGGCTGCCTTTCCAAGCACTCTGGTGAACACAGGGTGTTATGCACAGAGGAGAGAGTGCTGGAATTTTCTGTTTTTGAGATTGCTCAGCCAGGACAGTGGGGCATCTCTGTCTGCTTCAAACTGCTGCAGAGGGATTCCTTCTGCCACTGCCTGCTCAGTGTTCATGGGGCACCTGCTGCAGTCTCCTCTTAAAAGCTGGGGGGTTATCTTTCATTTTAACCATAACTTCAAACAAATAATAAAAAAAGATGTAAGAATTAACAGTGAACTTCAGAAAAACTGGTTTAAAAGTGAATCATCTCTGGCTCAGGTGCGCTCTTCAGACGTGTCCTGGTCTGACACCAGGAGGACCCTGCGCAAAGATCACCGCTGGGAGTCGGGGTCCCTGCTCGAGAGAGAGGAGAAAGAGAAGCTCTTCAATGAACACATCGAGGCACTTACCAAAAAGAAGAGGGAACACTTCAGGCAACTTCTGGATGAAACTTCAGCGGTAAGAGCTGTTGATGTTCAAGCTGAAAATCTTTGCAGCCCATTGGGGTTTCTCTTTTTGTGTTTTCCTGTTCCACAGTCTGACTGGTTTTATTTTCAGGGCCTCTTTGTTTCACCACTCTCTTTTCTCATTCATAACAAAATCTGTGCATTATGTTTCCTTACCTGTTTACCTGGAGTGCCATTTTAGACATACAGTTCATTTTCATATAAATTTCTAATCTCAGTGATCTTTTCATCCTTTCTTCATTTCTTCAGCACTGAGTTATTTGGTACTCTTTACTGTCTGGCTTCTGGCTCTTTCAGATATCCAGGGTGTTTGCTTTAGTGACCATCAGTATAGTCTTACCCAGTTCATCTGTTTTGATCTCCTGCTTTATCTTGTGCTGCCAAACATGAACTTTTACCTGCTCATGCTGTGGAATCCATCCCTGATTTTGTGCATTGGGGGTTTAGTGAGGTTTGTTTTCTTTTAGTTCTGTGACAACTTCAGGCAGCTTTCACTTAAACCTGGAAGTTTTTACCTCATTTTTAATGCATTAGTTAATTTAGTTTAGAGTTTTAGAACTAAATGATATTTGGAGGACCTTGACCTGAAAATACCATCTCAAAATACAGAAGAAAAGTCATATACAATCAACTAGTTAAAAATACCAATGTAATAGTAATGAATAAGCAAACCCCAACATTTAAATAGAGCAGCAACTTTCTCAGTGGACTTGGGAGATACTTAAAGGCTTCAGCTGTAGCAGTGTTTGCATTCTGTATCCTTAGAATCTAATTTTCTTTTAATTTAACTATTTTTGCTTCTTTTGAAAGATAACTTTAACATCAACATGGAAGGAAGTGAAAAAAATCATTAAAGAAGATCCAAGGTGCATTAAATTCTCTTCGAGTGACAGGGTAAGTGGTTTGTGGTGTTCTTGCTGACTTCCAGGGTGGTGCAGGGTACAGAGAAGTGAGCTGGTGGCTGCTGCACTGGGCTGTGCTCCGTGTGAATGCAGGTGTTAGTAGCTACATACAATTTGTGAAAAATTAAAAATGTAGAAGATAGGGAAAAGTGTCATTAACATGTAATTATTGCTGGTGTTCAGTGTGTTCAGTTGCAGGAAGTACTGGAGCTGCATTCAGTGATTTGATTTTCTTTTATCTTCCAGAAAAAGCAAAGGGAGTTTGAGGAATACATCCGAGACAAATACATCACTGCCAAAGCTGACTTCCGGACGCTGCTCAAAGAGACCAAATTCATCACCTACAGGTGGGGAGTGTGATGCCAGCGCAGGACTCAGCTTTTTTTTGTGCTTTGCCATGTAAAAAGCAGCAAACTGATGTGTAACTTGATAAACAAGTTGATGTCTAAGTTACTTGAGTCTTTCATGGCGCTTAATTAACAGGGCACAAGTGTAGGCAATGAGCCTTTGTCTCCTGTGCCCAGAGCACTCCTACCTGCCTAGTCCCAACCTAATGTGGCAATTTTCTAGCTCAGAAAAAGGCCAGGTCCTTGCACCCTTCCCTGCCTGGCCTTTCCATTGACTGCCTGTGCTTCCTCATGGTGGGGCAGCTTCCCTGAGCCCAGGCAGGGGGATCCCAGTTTCCTGGGCTACGCTCCAGTGGTAATGCTCTCGCTTGCTTTCAGATCCAAAAAGCTGATCCAGGAGTCCGATCAGCACCTGAAGGACGTGGAGAAGATCCTGCAGAACGACAAGCGGTACCTGGTGCTGGACTGTGTGCCGGAGGAGCGGCGCAAGCTCATCGTGTCTTACGTGGATGACCTGGACCGGCGCGGGCCGCCCCCGCCCCCCACCGCCTCTGAGCCCACGCGGAGAACCACGAAATAGTTACGGAATGCTCCTAATCCAAGGGTGTCTGTTAAATCCAAACGCTTGCATGAGCCATCTGTCAGGTTACACACATCCATTGCCGTGAATATATTCAAACATCTGAGGAGCAGAGGCAGGAGCAGCTTTTGTGAACATAAAATGGTCTCTGGGGAGGGAAACAACAACAAAGCCCCACGTTTAAAGGTATTTATGAGTTAATTGGGGCATGACTGACAAATCCCAAGGTGTGGGGCTGTTTGGTGACTGTGGGTCTCAGGGTGGGGTGTGTGAGGTGTGGATGTCTGGTACCTGGGGCTTTCCTCTCAGCGCTGTCATACATGTGAGTCCCAAGGGTGATCACGTCGTGGTTTGAGCGTGTCCTACGTGTGTGCCACAAGCTGCCTCATGGTTCCTGCAGTCCCTGGCTGAGGAGGTGACATGCTCTGATACCTTAAATTATTGATCATTGACAGCCTGCCCTGGAAACACCAGTCCCAGTTCTCTGCTTCCACCCTTGGGAATGGAACTAAATCCATTAAAGCCAGGGTTAGAGCTGAGCAGAGAGTTGGGACTCAGAGACCAATGCAGGTTTGTTCACAGACTGCTCTGTTCCTGCCCCCAGCCATCAATTAGCAGCAGTCAGGTTGCTCTGCCCAAGTGAAGATCTGTCTAATAACTTTTGCTCGAAGCTGGAAACACTTGGTGCATCCCAGAGGTGACCGAGCAGGCCAGGACGGTTGTATAAACACATTTTTATTTACGATAAAGTGATCTTTACATACTCTGGATTAGACTGTGGGTTCCCTCTCTGGGCAATTCTTGTAAACTATACTCCTGTTTTGAATGTTAAACTTGTGTTTCTAAAGTTTAATTTTGAAAATGTTGGGATTGTTCAGTTTATGTATTTGAACTACAATAAACCAACCCTTTTTATATATGGATTGTACAGGCCTAATCCCAATTTCTGTTGAATTTTGCTGGACTTGTGAATTTATGAGTAAAGCAAACAACTGAAGTGATACTGCCTACATTCTTGGCTGTGTTTGGCAGAACAGGGTCTGTGGCACTGAGCAGTGTGGGGTCAGTGTGTGGGCAAAGGGGGTAAGCAGAATGAAACTCTCCTTTACTTCTTTCATCTCTTGCTTAAACATGAGCTGGCAGGGCTGGCAGAGCCAAAGTTTCCTTCTGCTGCTTCTGTGTTTGATGTGGGTCTCTTCCCCCGGCCAAGGGCTGGGTAAGGAGCCCCTTCTTCCCTGAGAAAGTGATTTATTTTTTGTCAGCAGTTGGTGTTGGTGGCCAGGGGTGGGACTTACATCACAGGCTGAACATCAAGAGAGAAGGGTTGTTGTTTCACAAAGATCGGGACAGCCTGGAGGGATTTGTGCTGCTGACAGTGGCACATGGGAATGGGATTTCCTCTCACTTGGTGTGGCCCAGCAGGAAGCCGTGTGTGTCTTATGGCTGTTTTAGAACATGGTTAACTTGTTCATTAAATGAATAAGATGGCTATTAATTTTAATTGATCTGGTTTATGGAGACCAGATGTTCATTAACATTTATCTGCTTATTCTGTGGATAAAGCAATCACACCCACAGGCTGAGCCCCGGGGTGGGTGCTGCTGCTGGAGGATGTGTGGGTGATGTGTGACACCACAGAGCTGGTCCCCCCTGGCAGCCCTTCAGGCAGTGTCCCCTGTGTCCCCAAAGGCAGGGACAGCCTGTGGGAACCTCATTCAGAGAGATGGTTGGGTTTAAGGAGTGCTGACAAATTTCCTAGCACCATTCCCAGCCCAGCCCAGCAAATCCCCTGGCTGGCCCTGCCCACGGGCTGCTGCTGTGGCCAAACACTCAGAGCAGGGCAGAGGTGAAATCCAAGCAAGCTTGAAGAAGGGAAAAGAAATTCCATTTTTGAAAAGCTGGACTCACTTCTGCCTTGTGGAGCAACCAGGCTCAGCAACCCAGGACGTGCTGCACCCCACAGAGCAGAGCCAGGGCTGGATCTTTGCTGCTTCAACGGATTAAGGTCCTGTAGTCAATGTGGAGGTAAACGAGAGTCTGAGGAACACGTCCCTGACAGCACAGTCTGTGCCCTGCAACTGCTAATTAAAGGCTGCAGTTTAAATTCATCATCAGGAATAGCCCAGAATTAGGACAGTGATCGTGGGGGGGAGCAGCAGCTCCTTGCAGGGCTGTGAGTACTGAGGTTTGTGCTGTTGCAGTGGGGGAGGTCTGGGTGCTCCCACTCCCCATGTTCCACAGGGCCCCACATCCCACACCCTCAGAGGGACCCAGAGAATCCCTGGGGTCTCAGGGACCCCCCATCCATCCCTCATCAGCACAGGACTGGCAGCCACCCTCAGACCAGGGGCCCTTGGACCGTGCAGAGCCACAGTCCCCCTCCCACAAGAGGCACAACAGGCAGCGACTCCACACAGACACGTTTGGGACAACTTTACTTCTGACACCGCAGCACAGGCTCTCCTTACAGAACCAAAAAAGAGCGTTTTCTTAAAAAATGGTTCATTTACTCTGGCTATTTTATCATTTAGTTTAAAAAAAAAATGTTACTCCTGAAAGCCATCCCTTGGAATAAATCCATAAGCCAGTGCACTTTGTTTTTGCCTTGGGATGGCTCCTCTGAAGGTGGCGTGCGGGGCCGGGGCGTCCCAGCAGCTCCACACCCCGAGGGGTCCCTGCGGCCGCCCAGCTCCTGGTTTTCCACACAGTCCGTGTGCTCCGTGGGTGTGCAGCAGTTCATCTCCCTGGTCGGGACACTCCAGGATCCTCGCAGAGAGGCTGTCCGGGAGGCACCTGGCCCTCGGTGAGCCGTGTCCCGGTCCCTCCAGGCGATGGGTGCTGGGGGTGCCCACTGCCCCCACAGGAGGGGTGGCAGCGGGGTCGCCCCTGCGGAGACACTGCCAAAGTGATGGTGTTGGATTTTGTAATTGACTTCATTTATTCATTTGCTGCTTGCTGCAGGAGCAGTTTTCTGGTTTATGGAAAATCCAGTCGTCCTTGTTTTTTTGTTTTTAATTGAACAATTGCTCAAGTAAAAGAGGGACCTGACCAATCTGTAGAGTAGAAAGAGGCAGCCTCGCCATGCAAAGAGAAAGAGTTACTGGTTTTATTATTATTATCATTGTTATTATAATGTAGGACTGCAGACAGCCTCTCTCTGACACAGTCAGGGGCTAACAGCAATATACGGTTGGATTCTTCTTTAGAAGGTCATAAATTAGCAACTTATACTTTACCTTTAAAAAAATTGAATAAATAAATAAATTAATTAAAAAAGAGAGATAGAGAGAAAGAGAGAGAGAGAGTCAGTCACGACATGCAAGAGCTCACAACAGAATGAGGAAAATGACCAAAGCAAAGCCCAGAACTGCAGCAGAGCCCAGGGTCGGTTTGGTTTGCGATCAATGCAGGTCGGAAGCATTGTTTATAAAGGTATTTCATATACCAAAGAAGGCACCACAGTATCTACAAAGCCAAATCCTCAGGAGGGGTCTGGGGGTGAGGGGGCAGCCTGGCCGGAGCAGACACATCTGAGAGTGCAGCACATCCCCCCCCTTAAGCTCATCCATTGCAAAACTGAACTTTTCCATTTTACGTTTGGTTTTGCTGTCTCTGTTGTTAAAACACAAAGTAATTGTAATAAAAAGACAAATGTGGAAAATGGCAAAGGGAGGCAGCGTTCCAATCTTCAACACAACAGGTGGAACATTTCTGGGATCAAGTATAAAACAATTGGAGTGGGACCACTGTCACCAGAGCTGCCCAGGGGTCACGGTGTGTTAGCCCCACACCCTCCTCCCCAGCCAACAGCCCCCCCTGCATCACCCCCTTGGCCGTCGGTGGAGGGTCACTGCCACCCCACCACTGCCTGGGGACATGGGATAGCTGGGCCTGACACTCCCAACCACGTCTCAGCTCTCCCTATGTAAATCTGGTGTCCTGTGGGGTGCCCCCGTGGCCCTGGGCCGGGGTGCCCCAGTGCTCCTCTGCGTAACCGCGATCTGCAGAGCAGGAACTGAACAAAGAACAGGAAGGAAAGGAAAGGAAAAAAAAAAAAAGAAAGAAAGAAAAGAAACAGTTGAAACCATGTGTTTACTGGTATCAGTACATGAGACTCCTAAAGAACACCTGGTCCTCCTAGTTAACCTTGTCCTGGAATATGTACAGGTTGTTCGTGGCTGCCACGGCAATGATGTTCTCGGAGGGGTGCCAAGCTGTGTGCAGGATCTTTTTGCTAAAGTCCAGACTGTCCACGCTGATCTCGTCTTTCCTGCGCTTGCCACCCACGCAGACCTTGCGGGGCTTGAGGATGGCGCGGGGTTTGCTGTTCTCCCGCGACGCCTCCAGCGTCACGTCGCGCTTGGTGTTGCGGTCGAACATGCGGAAGAAGTTGTTGTAGGAGCCGGTCATGATGACACTGTGAGGGGGAAGGACAGATGATTTTCACACCTTTTCAGAGGCAAACTGCTGGTGAACAAGAGGCAGACTGAACATTCAGAGGCTTAATGAGATTTGGTAAGAGCTGGAATTTGGCTCAGGCCCAGCCGTGCCTCGTCAGCTCGCTCTGATGGCTCAGACAAAAAATCTGCCAGCCCTGCCAGGTCAGCCAGCCTCGCATGCTTCCTGCTGCCTGGCTCAGTGTGAGTCACACCTGGATACTCGTCATCCCCAGATTTTGGCACTCTGGAGCTAAACCTATCATCACCCTTCTGCAGCTGTGGGAGATGGAGCTGATCCCGTCCAGTAGAGAGTGGGACACTCAGACAACCCCAGCAAGACTCACGTAGAGGCTGCAGGTGCAGGTGGTCCCTGTTGCACCTCTCCAGATCCTGCACCCAGCCAAAGGCCTGGGAAGAGGCTGCCAGGATCTTTGGAACCCCTCAGCCCACCCCAAATTGAGCATCCCTGGGCAGGACGCAGCCCCACCGCTGCACGCTCACCTGTCAGACCCGTTCCAGACGCACTCGAACTTGTCGAAGATGCAGTCGTTCTCGTAGAGTGAGCAGAGCTTGCTCCGCAGGTAGTCATGGACCTGCCAGCAGGAGGGATGGGATGAGCTCCCCACACTGACCAGCACAGCCCAGTGACCAGCAGACCCAGCCCTGCACTCACTGGGAGCGGATGGACCCAGCCCAGCCCTGGGCTCGCCACAGCCGAGCTGTCAGCGTTGGGCACTGCCTGGCACCCTGTGCCCTGCCACAGCCACCCTTCTCCTGTAAAAACCTTCAGCCACGCTCCACATATGGCTTGGACAGCACTGGGCAGTGACAGGGGACATCCCCTGGCAAAGGGTGGCAGGGACAGGGCTATTGCTCTGCACAAGGCCTCCCACCTGGCTGTCCCAGCCACCAGCACCTGAGTTTCCCCTCCTTACCCATCCCCAGCCTGGGGATGTGCTGACAGCTCACCTGGCCACTCCAGGCCATATCTAACAACTCTTCATTTGCTTTCCACCATCTAAAGGTACGAAGCTCCCACCCAGCAGGTGTGTACCTGCCACTCCTAACACCAGCCCAGGCCATGGCTCAGGAAGGACCTCAGTGGGTGTCCCACCAGTGCAGGTGTCCAGCCGTGCCACACTCACCTGGTAGGTCTCGATGGGCCGGTTCTCCATGTTCAAGTCCCACACCTTGACAGTGAGGTAGTCCCGGGTCATGATGTACCTCCCACTGTGGCTGAATTTGACATCGGAGATTGAGGAGATGATCTCAGAAAAAAATGACCGGTTACTCGGGTCTTCGGGCTCTTCAAAAACTGTGGAAGAGGAAAGGACAAGTCCTGGCATGAGCCAAGGCAGGAGCTCCCTGATCCCAGGCCAGGGACCTGCCACCCCTTCCCAGCACTGTGGGAAGTTCCTGGGAGGGAATTGGACATCCCAGGAGCTATACTGCTGTACCCAGGAAGGATCGCTGGAGACTGATCCTACGGAGAGCCCAGGAGCCTGGGCCCCTGGCACAGCACCTCTGCTCTCCAGGAATTGGCAGGCAGCATAACTGACATCAATGTAAATATTTTATAGTCACTGCAACCTCCATATTTGATCTGATCAGTCTTTGAATAAATCACAGATTGAAGGAGACCAATAAAGTTCCAAATTAAATATATTTTACAGATTTGATTCCAAAGTGACATCAGTGCCCTGACCAGGGACCCAGCACACACACACTGCAATGTCAGAGGTCCCAGCACACACACGGATGGTGCTGCCCAGTCCTGGGTGGGTCTGTGAGCCAAAGCCGGCAGCCAGGCAGGGCAGGGGCTTGGGGCAGCTATTTTTGCTTTGAGCTGAAGGCTTTTGTGTGGCTTTGCTCCTGCTGCAGAAGCAGATCTGGGCTGCTGAGCTCATGGAAAGGATTTCTGAGCACTAATTCTCTCTTACACAACGAACCTATTTTCTCTGGCACCGAGCGGGCGCTGCCCTGCCAGCCCTCCCTCCTTCCCCAGCCCTGCAGCAGCAGCACAGTCAGCAGGGCAGGTCCCAAGGGAAGGGGGCTGTGCCTTGAGCCTGTGGTTCAGGAGCTTGGCAGGTAAAATCACAGGTGGCTCCTTAAAAAAAAAGTGGAAAGCCCAATACCTTTTGCTACAGGGAAATAACTGTAGAACCCCCAGTGGGGCTTTACCTCGCTTTCCACATCCTTTCCAAAAAGGACTGCTTTTGCTGGCATTACCAGCTGCTCCTGGGATCCCAGTCTCCCCTCTGGCTTGCCGTGGTGCTTCAGATAATGCACATGATTCCCATGTGCCTGGTGAGCTAGGGAAGGTATCCCCTCACAGGGCCACTGCCCCTCTGAGCGCTACAGCACATGGATCTTCACAGAGTGTCCCCACAGAGAGGACATTCCTATTAGCTCCTCACATTCCCACATCCCGCATATTCCTATCAAAGCTGCTGTTCCCTCAGGCCAGCTCTGCACCAGGGGTAACACAGATGTCACAGAGAAGCTTCAAATAATGTGGGCAAACAAACCTTAATAAGAGAAGCACCAAGTCAGAGCTGCCCCAAGCAGTGACTTCACAATCTACATAAACCTGACGGGATGTGCAGAGCAGTTTTATTAAATATTGACAGTTATTAAATGTCTCCGTTGGAGGATTTGCTCCGAAAGCCAATGTTGCTTTTCATTTTGAACTTTGATGAACTGTCTCAATTTCGACTTCCACATCTGCTGAAGCACAATTGACTGCAGCTGATGCTTCGGAGGGATGGAAGGGAATCAATCAGGAGATGTCACGGGAGAGGTCACACCGAGCAGGATACACCACGGTCAGTGTGTTGCTGAGGGCTGGTGGGACCAGGCAGTGCCCAAACAAAGGGAAATGCTGGAGGTTTCTGCAGCTGAAGTGTCAGGAAAATGAATTTTGTTTGCTCCTTAATTGTATTACGATTTTCAGCTGGGAACCATTGCTGTCAGACTGTGAGCCATGGATGGGAAATGCAGGGACAGACCAGGTGTGTTTTCCTCAGTTTCATTTGGGAAAACCGCCATTCAGTATTTCCCAAACTACCACCAGCGATGTGAGCTTTCCTCTGTCTGCTTTACCCGGGTTAAAAACAGGTATTGGACAGCAACTGTGGCTCAGGAGCCCAGAAGCAGCAGCTGGGGTGTAATTCCCTACCACACCAGGAGACCTAAACCCAAACACAGCCAGGGGCTTGCTGCAGGCAGGTTGTTAGCAGGGGGCTGCAGTCAGCTGAACCCAGTTTGTGCATCTTGTCCTTGTAACCTGATCACACTCTGAATACTGAAAGTCTCCTTAACTTCCCACAGGATGCTGGCCACTTTCTGAAGCAAACTCCCACAAGAGGAGACACAGGGGTTTGGCTGCCCAGGGAGGTAGCACAGCGCCCCAGGGCTCTGCTACACCTCTTTGTCCTAAGGCAGGTATCAAACCCTTCAGTCTGTCCCACCTCTGTGTTTGATTTTCCCCGCTGTGACCAGCACAGGATTGCCTTCCAGGAGCTGCCAGGGCACAATGAGCAGCAGCAGGTATTTGCCAGCTCACCCATGAAAGCCACGGTGTTTTGTCTCCGTTCCACTGAGCAGTTGTTGACAAGAAGAATATTCCCAGTAAACACCACCCAACACGTGCAGGCTGAGCCGGGACTGACTGTGCTGGACGCAGCAGTTCACTCATCCCCACGGGCCCCACTTACACTGAACTTCAAGGGGGCTTTTCTGCCTCTCCTGACCCCACAGCTGACAAAAAGACTCGCGGCTGTTTGGACAAACAGCCTGAACGGAATACAGCGATCCCTGTCTGGCATTGACACCTCAGTAGTTGCTCTGCACTGACATTCCTGCAACCCTTTGGACCCAAAACATCACCACAGTGGTTTTAACCTCCTCCCCAAAAACTGTGGAGCCAGGACACAGGGGAAGCTGCTCCTCTTGGGGACAGGCAGGATGTGTGAGGGTGGGTGTCCATGGGGACTGGAGCCTGGCACACGAGGGGGAGAAGGAGACAAGGCGGTAGGGCAGACCCAAGCCCAGGTGGGTCTCCACACTCCCTTTTTTGTGCTCCTTTAACCCAAGGGGCCCTGCACTCACACTTGGCGTGGCGGTCGCAGAGGGCAGCGGTGCGCATGTCACACAGCCGGATGGTGCCTTTGCTGCTGCTGTACACGAAGGTGTTGCAGTGGTGCGGGTGGAACTCGGCGGCCGTGATCACCTCTGTCAGCTCCTCCATGTTGGCTGGCTTGATGTCCACGATGTCTGGCAGGGCGAGTCAAGGAGCCCACACAGCCCAGCCCAAACCCCACTCCTCCCGTGGGGTCTCCTCCTGTTCTGCTCCTGCTGACATCTCCTGGCAAGGGGGCTTCCCCTCACCCCAGGCAAATCGGGTGTTCCTGGCAGGCAGCACCATCCTGGGGCAAAACCGCAGCACAGAGCGAGCCCAGCCCCCACCAGCGCAGGAGAAAGCCGACATCCAACACATTTTCTTTTCAGTTGGGAACCCCAGCTCTGGAACCCCAGCCAGGAGACCCTCTGTGGGGCACGAGACCTGATCTGTTCTTACAGGCCAGAGTAAACATCTTGTATTGCAGCTTGGGGGCTCAAATCCAGGGCACAGCAGGCAACAGAAAACCCCCTCTAAGTCCCTGGGGCCATCTAAACAACCTGAGGTTTGACCCAGATTTAGTTCTCCTCACCCTCATCTTTGAAAAAAAGCAGGCACTGCAGCCCTACTTTCCCACACCCACTCTGAGCTCCCACAGCCACACGCCTGTGACTGCTGAAATCCTCTCCAGCTGCCTCAACTGTGCCCCAGGGATTTCTCGGCAGGAAACACCATATAAATATCACTGATGATTAGTGCCCCGTGTTATTATTTCCGATGCAGCTGTTACAAGGGTGACTGGCACGACCTCATTTGTACGGCGGTGACTGGCAGCCTGTCACCTGCTGCAGGGTATAACGGGGACCGCACCATTAGTGTCTCCATCTTCCCCAAGGCGTCTGTCTCCTCCACCACCTGCAGATCCCCCTCCCTCCACCCATCCCACCAGGCCCTGCAGGCAAATTCAGAAACGTGTCACCCACATGGCAGGTGACAGCAGCAGCAGTGGCGATGCCAGCTGAGCCCCGTGCCGTGGAGGGAGCGGTTCGGTGTGACGGCTGGATGTGCTCGTGGGACACAGCCCAGCATCCCGCCGGCAGCAGAGCCAGAGACGAGAGGGCAGTGCCTTTGGTAATGACACCTGGGACTGGGCACCTCGGGCGCTCTGCAGTCAGGTGCACGGCAGGCAGCATTATCTCGTATTCCAGAGCCCCTGCCAGCCTTGCCAGAGGGTGAAGCTCCTGTACTGAGGCACCGAGACCCGGTGCGGAGCCAAGTGAGCTGCTGAACTGCCTGGTCACCATCCCCGCAGGCACAGGCCCTCACCAGGATCCAGGGCTGTCCCCAGGGCCATGTGCACCAAAGGATACTAAAACTCTGATTTGTGATTTCAAAATTCCACAGGTTTATCCTCAGGTCGTCCGCTGACATGTAGGTCTCGTAGTCGCTGTTGACGGAGATGGAGTTGATGTGGTAGGTGTGCGCGTTGGCAAACACCCTCCGCGGAGTGGCCTCCACCATCAGGTCCATGGGCCGCAGCACGGGGACCTGCAGGATGGGGAGCAGAGCATCAGCACCAAGGGACAGGGGCTGGCCGTGCCCTCCAACTCACGCCAGCACCCAGCATGGGGACACACCCCCACAGTGTCCCACAGAGTTCTGGCTGCCGGCGCTCCATCCCACCTGCCTAACAGACTCTCTCCAGGAAAACCTAATGCCTTCTCAAGTGTATGACAGAAGGACAAGCAAAACCAAAAAGCCTTCTAATTTTGAGAGAGGCTCCAGGATGGTTAGAGCACAGTGAAGCAGCCCAGTAAACCAGGCTCTGATCTCGCTGCAGCAATTGCTCCAGCTTTGAAACAAGTAAAAAAACCAAAAAAACAAAAAACCCCACAAAACCACGAACAAACAAACAAACAAACAAAACACCAAAAAAAACAAACACAAAAAAAATGCTTCTGCCTCGTTTTATCACTGATAGCTGGGATCTGAAATTCCTGGAGCATTTCTAACAGAAATACATTTCTTGAGAGAGCCAGGTCAGCACAATTTTTCCTTTAACCTCTTTGCATTTGCCTCACAGCGAACTGACGGAGGTAGGAGATGAAAAGGGACAGAGCGAGGAGCACACAAGCAAGGGTAGAGGGAAGAATCAGGGACAGAACTGCCTTTAGGTGAATCAGCATAACCCAGAGGGCATGGGGAGCTGCAGTAGGGACCATGTGTGCGAGGAGTGGGGTCAGTAATAACTTCGGACACAACGCTTTGAAGGAAACTTAATACACTAGGAATGTGTCAGTCCATGCTCCCGCTCGCCAGTGAGCTGTTCCCTCCAGCTACTTCATTACTTTTATTATCTGTGTGCTGCCTGAAGAGATTTCCCATGGTTGCAGAGGTGGGGATGGGAGTGACAGCCAGCTCGAGTGACACGAGAGCACGGGCGCTGCCAGCTCAGAGCCTGAGCCTAATGTGACGAGCCTGCCTGCTAATTCCACCTGACACAGCCAATGATGCATCGTTTGCGCTGACGGACTCTGCTCAGCCAGCCGGGGACGGGGGACAGCGGCTCCAGGACCACAGGGACCGGCTGTCAGCCCGACCGCCGGGAACACGATGGTTGTGCAACACGATAAAGGGCTCAGCAGCTTCACCGAGCCTGGCTGGGAACAAAAACAAGCACAGAGAAGGCTTGAGTAGGGTACTCTGCTCAGCGAGATGGCTCTGTGTGACCCGGTACAGCTCGTGGTCAGACCCGGACTGGTCCCCTTCCACAGTCCAGGCAATCCCTGAGCTGATCCCAACACTGTGGGTGCCCGCAGTTCCCAGTGCCCCAGCACAATTCCCTACTCGCTCCTACATGGCAGCCACTCACAACCATGGTGGTACAACAAACTCCTCAGCCAAGAACATTCTCCACGTTACTTCAGAGCCAGATCCTGGGGAGACTTTTTTTATGCCTGGGATTTGGCCCATCCCCAGACAAAACCCCACGAGAGTGACAAACCTGGTCATGCATGACTCGTTTGTTAAGGCAGGGATTTTTATCTGCTACAGTGGGAAGAATCTGCACTGAAATATGGGCACCAGCACACACATGCTGCAAGCTTTTGCTTAAGGATATCAGCAATCAGGATCTAACCCTGAAAGCACTTTGAGGCAGGAGCAGCCAGGAATGTGCCAGGAGCACACACTGGTTCGAAAAGCTTGTCTCCCAACAGTGGGATCCTGCAGTGCAGGGAACCCTGGCTTAGGATGGCTGAGGGGAGCAGCTGCCCAGCCCTCAGCTGCGGTGGAGAGGGAACATCAACAAATGGGGCAAGGTGACAGCAACTGGAACTGGGTCTTGTGCTTTTTTGAAGCAGGCACAGGCTGAGTCAGCATCTGGCCAACCAACCAGACTCCATCAGCAGTGCCATGGCAATCCTCAACAGCAGAGGCCTCCTTACAAATCCCTGCTCCAGTTCCAGAGCCCACCTCAGGGCAGGCTCTGGTGTCACACACACCCATTATTAAAGGGTAATTCAGTGTAACAAAGCGCATCAAGTACACAGAAAGACTGTCAAATAAAATAAAGCACTAATAAATTCAATTACTTTCTGTTTTCAGGAAGGGGGGAATTCCAGTCATTTTTCATTTAAAACAAAATATGTCTTAATTTTTCGTCCTGCCTTTAGCAGGCACCCACTGCAGAAGAGACGTCCCACTCACTCCAAGCACACATGACACTTGATCCCTCTCCCTGTGTCTGGCAAAGGCTTCCCCGAATTTATGAGACACTAACCTGCCCTTGAGCTGTAAATCTCATTTTCTCGGTGGTTGGGGTGGAGGGAGCTGGCCTTCTCCACCACTGCTACTGTGCATCCTCCTGCCACCTCCAGCCCTGAGCAAAGGACCACAGTGCCAGGGATGCAGTGTCAGTAATTGCCCCTGTCCCCATCAGGCTTCCCCTTTCATTGTCTGTCATGTCGGCTGTCACCCAATGCTCCCTGTGGAAAAGCTCTGCGTGGTTGAGCTCTCCGTGCCATTCACAGCTGCTGTGATGGACGTGGCCTGCAGAGCCACAGAGATTCAGTGCTTCACAGCAACGCCTCCTCCTCTGCCCAGAGCTGCCACGTGGCAGCAGCTTTAGCAAAACACAGGTCAATATGTGGGGGAAAGGATCAAGGGCTCAGCTCCCGGGACAGCACGGTCACAAACCTCCCAAAGGCCACAGCCAACATGTGCCAGGTTTGAGCTGCCCCTTACTGGGGGTCAGGCGGGGACATGGACCTCCCACACAGCCCCACGGAGGACACGGACCCAACCACCTGCACGCAAAGGGAAATCAATGCTGCAAATCCTCATGGGACACACCGGGGGCCAGGAATTCCCAAAGGGTGTGAATATGACATGACTGACTGCAGTGGGACCTCCTACCCATTTCTGTGCAATGGAGAGGGGGATTTGCTTCTGGTTAGCGCCAGGGAAACCCTCTGGGTCCACTGGACCACACTGGACTTACACTGAGAGCCAACCTGAACCTGAGCAGTTGGCCATAAAATAATCCCAACAAATAATCCATTAGGTGTCTACCCAATCCCCACCTTGCCAGGGTGACCAAGCCCAGCACCAGCTGCAGCCATAGCTCTGTGTTTCCCTGCCAGGTGCAGCGGGACCAGCTGCAGGCAGTTCCCCCTGTGACCCTGACAGGCACAGCTGGACCAGCTGGACCACGCTCAGCTGGACCAGCCATGCTGTGAACCAGTGGGGAGAGCTTTCCTCGCTCCTGCATTTGCAGCAGGACACACATCCCTCTCCAGTGAGAGCTGAGGGTGGTGGTGCTGGACCAGCACAGCAGCAGTGCCGGATCAGCACAGTTGGTGGTGCTGGATCAGCCCAGTGGTGATGCCAGGCCAGCCCAGCAGGTGACTGTGCAATCCCTCTCCCCCAGCCCACCCCCCACTCCACACCAGCACGGCTGGTGCCCAGCTTGCTCCACAGCCTCCCACAGGATTTGGACAAGGGGGATTAGTCAAACCGAATCCTGGATTGACCTCAGCCTTGGGTCTGCGAGAAGGAAACTATAATCCAGTCCCTGGCAAATCAGGAGCAGAGCAAGCGCTCAGGGATAAATCCAGTGAGTTTTCCACCCACCCCAGCAGCTGAGCTACTCCATCCAGCAGCTGAGCTCCCCCAGGCACACTCCCCATTCGTTTCCTACCTACACAAGGCCCATTCTGTGACTGCCCAATGTCACCTCCAGATTAATATTTTGCAGACAAAATGAGCATCAAACACTATTTTCATGGCAGACTGACAATTTCACGCTTCTCAGGATTTTGTCACGTTAGACCTGCCCTGTGATATGCGGAAGGGACCTTCCTGTGGGAGGACAAAGCCGCTGCCTCACTGCTCATCCACACAGCTGATGGAGCTGCTGGTCCCACCTCTTGTCCCCAGACATGACCCTCACTGCCCAGCACTGCATTCACACCACTCCTTCTGCTGCCTGTCCTTGAGGCTGTTCTCAGACAGTGGAACATGGGCACGGACTCAGTGCCCCCTAAAGACCCACCTGAGCCTGCAGAGACCTCAGAGAACAAACAGAACATTTTGCTTATCTGAAGTTAAACCCCTGAACTCCTCATGCTACTCCCATCAGAACTGCATTCCCCTTAAAGAGGTGATGATTTGAAAAGATGGCTTTTTAGCTTACTTCTCCCACTGAAAAATAGCCCATGTCAGGAAAACCCCACCAGGCAGTTCACAGTTTCCCTGCTTTTCCGGGGTGGATTGTGCAGAAACACAGCCATGTTCCCAAACCCCATTCACAGTGATTCAAACCCATGTGATAACACTGCCTGGCACGTTGCTGTTACAGCATGTCTGGACACAGATACCAGCAGGGTCATTGCTGTGGAAAAGAGAGGAAAAAATATCTGAAAGGTCAGTGACTCTGAGCCAGCGGGCCCCAGCACACCCCGATCTGCACGGCAGTTTCCCAGTGTGTGGTGGCGAGCCCAGAGTGGACAGAGTGGCCAGGCCCCCAAAGGGCAGCCGAGTGTGTGGGTGTCACACCCTGAAGGGCTGGACCCCAGAGGGCAACCAAGTGTGTGGATGTCACACCCTGAGCTGCTCTGAGGCACTGGAAGCAACTAATTAAAACGGGAAAACCCTTTTTTTTTTTTTAGTTTCCATGGCACTGCTTTGCTGACGAACATTTGAAATTGATTAGTTCTGCCATGTGCATTTTATAGCCAAAAAAAGCCAAATGGCCCACACTGCCTTGCCACTGAAATGCTCTGTGGAATGTATACAAGGAAAAGAGACAAATCTCTTTGCTGGGGCAGAAAGGCAGCAGCAGCACAGCAGTACAGCAGCCCTCATCTCTGAGGCATCTCCCATCACAGCCTCTCTGGGGCTGCTGCCAGGGGCACTGGATGCAGTGGGGCACAGCACAGCCTCCCTGGGAAACTGTGCACAGGGGCCAAGAACTCTGAATGCTTTGGCAAAATAGGAGATACAAACCAGGATTTATGATGGAATTTGCTGGAGGGTATGAAGAGGTAGCTCCTAATCAGGGAGGGCTCTGTGACAGCCACAAACATGAAGAATCGGGCACACAACAGCCCAGCCCATCGCACCTTCCCACCAGCGGCACAGCCCACGCCAAGCGCCTGCAGCACCCGGTGCCCACCGGCTCCATGGGACAGAGCACCCAGGGTGTCACCACAGACTGACTGCTCTGGGAGGGACCAAAGCAAACACATCCTCTCTTTGAAAAGGTTTAAGCCCTGACTATTACTTGTGTCAATTATCTCTTGCACACATCCCTTGGCACAGGTACGGAGAGCGGCACTCAGGAGGCACGCCGAGGCTGTTACATCAGGCTGAAGGGCTGCAGTTATTAGACTTGGGGCGATTCAAATCAGCAGAGCTCTTCTACTGACAGCAAACACCACACTTCACACCCTAAGCAGAGTTAAATATTCCTTTTGCACTATGTGGGTTAGAAATTCCTCAGAGGATGATGCTCATCAAGCGTATTTAAACCATTAAGCCAAATGGGTGAGAAATGACTGCATCAAGGTGGGTTTAAAATCCTTTTTTGCTTGTTTGTGGTTGAAAATTAAACCGTGGATGGATGTGGCTTTACTCCAAAGCACGAGCATCACAGGACAATTACACGTCAGAGATACACCAAGCTGCAGCAAAACGGTTACAGCTATGTAAATATCTGTCTAAGTAAAATCATCAAAACATTAGATCAAACAGAGCTGGCAGAAGCCTCCTCAATCCTCTGTCCTCAGGGACCGCAGGCAGTGCACAGCAGATACCAATAACCATAACACCGAGCACTAACAGCATGTTTTACCTCCCGGTGCCGTGGTGGAGCAGGAGCTGTGCGCTCCCGCAGGGCTGCTCACCGGGAGCAGCAGCGGCAGTGCCTGATCCTGGTGCACTGGCAGACACCAAACAGCAACTCCTCCAGCCACACGGCACCGAGCTGCTGCCAGGAGTGAAAGGGCTGAGGGTAAAACAAAGGCTGAAACTTTTGAGGCAGAGAGTGGACTCCAGTAGTGTCCAGTTCTCTGATATTTCACTGTGCCTTTCTACAGGGGAAGAAGAAATCCTAGGGCCTTCCCAGTGTGTTTAGCCAGAGAAGGAAGCACTACCTGGGGTAACACCCTTAACACTTCTGCTTTTCCAAACCCTGCTTCCTGCCCCACTGAGGGCTGACAGCCCCAGCTCCAACAGCCGGATGCCAAGCAAACCTCTCCAACGGGCTGTCAGGCAACGGCATGTTAGGCTGGAAATGCTGCCTGAACATAACAGCAGATACACATCTACATGAAATAAATGGTCTCTTGCACTGCAAAGAAAAATGCTGCCAGGCACCAGGAGCAACCCTGCATGGAGACAAGAATGAACCACCTGCCTGGGGTTCTCAATGGCATCATCCACAATGGAACTGGGAGTGACAGAGTGAGGCCAGGGTAAACACAATAACAATTTTATATTATAAATATAGAACACAGAAGTGCTCATAATGCAAATTCTGACAGGGTGATAATAAATTACAAGCTGGGCTGGTCTGCTTACTGTCATGACCGGAAGGAAAACTCAAGTAGAGAAGTGCTCCTGCTCCCACAGCAGCAGCAGTTGCATGAGTGAACGCTCCAGGTTAGGCAGGCTCACGTCCTGCCTCCTCACCAGGATGGGCACAGCCTGGGGGGTGGCACTGGGGTACTTGACATGGGACAGAACGTGGCACTGGTGGCACACCTGCCCAGAGTTGGCACAGCCCCACAGCAGCTCTGTCCTCCGTTCCCATGTCTGTTCACCATCCAAAGCACTGGCCTCCAACCAAGGATGCCTCCCACATCAACTGACCACGGCAGGATGGCACAGCAGGTACCAGGGCACACAGGTGACACCGGCAGGGATTTTCATCCAAGCCCCTGCAATAAAAGGCTCCTTGACAGCCTCGGTGCCCCCACACTCACCCGTAGCATGGTGATCATGGAGGGGTCTCGGAGACGGCCATCCTCATCCTTGAGGTTGTATCCCTCCGGTCTCTTGTCCCGCTCGCTGACCTTCCATAGCTTCACGGTCTTATCTAGGGGAGGAGAGAGGAGAGTGTCACCTGAGACACCCACTGATGGATGCACCAAGACCATGCTGGCTGGAAAAATCCACTGTCCCCCAGTGCCACATGCTGGAAATGGTGACAGATGTACCTGGCCCCACAGAAAGCTGCTCACGCACAGCTCTGCAGAGGAGTAAAGACATGTCAGGCGTGCTGGACACACCTCAAAGGACATGACAGGGTGTCTGTAGCTCACTCAGTCATCCTGACTTTCCCCACCCAGAATTGTGCAGAGCCTAGGACTCACCAGCGACCAAAGGCAGCCCCAACCTCCCCCACAGTTCCCTGTCCCCTCCCGGCGTCCCACCCCCCTGTGCCACAGAGCCCCTGTGGAAGGAACCCCAAGAACATGTGGGGTTATTCTGAATAATGGTGTTTTCTTTGCTCCCTCCTGGCAGGGAGTCCATCTATAGTTTATCATCACTTCCACCAGGTTTCATACACAATCCCATCATCCATCTTCATTGTCTCCCTCACACGGCAACTCCAGTGGAGCACCATTAATTTTGTTTTTATTAACCCACTCTACTTCAGGGGGTTTGATATAAAATCTTAGTGTAACAGTAAGAACGAAAAGAAACAGCCTAACACGGGAGTATTTTCAAAAGAATCATTTTGATAACCTGCCTGCGTATGAACACCATCCCAAATGGAAGAGTAATACCCCTGTTAATCAAAAAACTATTTAAAAACTCAATTAACAGAACATTATGCTGTATAATTAATCTTAATTGCATTTCAATGATTCTCCCCTCAAATGAGTTTAGTAAGTCTTTGAATTTTATTACAATGATCAATAGAGTCAATTCTATAACACAAAGTAAGTTGGTTATGGAGGATGATTAGACCCCTCCTTTTCCCCTGAAGTAATTAAGTCACATCCATCTTAAGGTCCCATTCACCCCAAGTAATATTCCTGGATCCTCATGATATTTATCAGAACATAACATGGAACTGCTGAGCTGAACGGAACTGCAAATTGAAACAAATCTGCTGCAGTTTGTCTTAAAAAAAGACAAAAAAAAAAAAAAGGGTTCCCAGGATCCAAAGAATAAAAAATAAAAGTTGTCAGCAAGGAAGAAGTCTCCCTCCCTCCACCTCCCTTTCTCTCTCAGCCCAGGCACCCACGGCCACGGGCACGTACCGTTGGTGGAGAGCAGGAAATAGGCCGCGTTCTGCTGCGGCAGCCATCGGATCTTATTGATCTTCTCCTCGATCTCCAGGCTCTTCAGGTAATCGAACTCCGGCTCGTGGCTCTGGAAGGTGCTGTAGACATTGTACTCTCCCCTGCGGTGGGGCTGGTTCTTGCTCTGCAGAGGGAGAGGCAGGAGATGAAGGCGTTGGCAGCGGGCTCGGGGCTCTCCGGGGTTTGTGAAGCAACACAAGAACAGGGCTGAACACCTTGGGATGGCCTCTCCTGGCACCAGGACTCCTGGTGTGCTCAGTGGGAACAGAGTGGGAGTGGAGCAGGAATGGAGAGGGGACAGAGGAGGAATGGAGAAGGAACAGAGTTGGAATGGAGAGGGAGCATAGCAGGAAAGATCCCACCGCACTGGCCATCCCCAGTGAATGGGTGGGAAGGAGCTCCAGCTCCTCCTGGATGCTGGACCTGCCACAGAGGAGCCACTGGCAGCAGCCACCGGTATGGGATGGGCAGCGTTTGCCCAATGGGTCCATGGCTATAGAGCAAGGATAACACAGCAAGAAGCAGGACATGGTCCCTGTGGGAACTGACACTGTGCCCCAGTTCAGTGCTTGGAAGACACCGTGTATCTGCAAACGCCACAAGTGAACCAACAGCACCGGGCTCCAAACAGGGCTGAGGTAATTAAGTAAAACCACCATGGAGATGAACCTCCCACACACAAATGGAGCACTTGGCGGGGGTGAAGTCCCACATGTCCCCTGGAGCAGGAGCTGAGCAGATACACCCCAAGTGATGCTGGAGGCTTAAAGTTCAAGCAAAGCAGCAGAGTAATGAAATGGGAGGGAAAGGAGAAATGAAATAGTGATGCACAGGCTTATGAGTGTCTACACAGACAACTTTTAACCACTGAGTTCTCTCCAGCCTAAAGAGAAATAATTTTGAGGCTTTAACTTTTGAGAAAAATTTAGAACTGTGACATGTCTCATGGCCAGGTCTGACTCATCCCTTCCAGCGTGGGAGAGGACAGGTCCCACCGGCTCAGCCTGGGCCAGAGCAGCAAACCAGGATGACTTCAGAAATGGTGGGGACCCTCCCTGGTGGTGGGAGCCAGCACAGCTCCTCCAGCCAGGCTGGCAGGGTACCCACCAGTGCTGGGCCATACTGAGGGCTGAGGGCCAAGCACACATCACCCTGGCAGGCGTGACCTCCAGCTTCCAGCAAAGCATTTGCTAACAATTCCTGGGCAAAGTTTTGGAAGGGAAATGAGCTTGTTGCATCCATCTACACTTTCCAGAATTTTGGTGGTGTGAGGTGGTTTTTGGGGTGGTGTCAGCTCTGAGACAGGCTCTCACCACACACTCAGACGTGCTGTCTGACCCTCATTACACCTGGAGCAGAAGGATGCAAGAAATGTGACTTTTGGAGGGTGTTTGACAGGAGGAAATCTGACCCTGTTGATGTTAATAGTGGCTTTTCAGCTTGGAGTCTGGCAGGAGAGCCCTGAGGTTAGGAGTGACACAGGCGGATTAGGAAACAGCAGGACGCTTCGCTTAAAAGGATAAAATGGGCATTTTGCATTCACTGGCACTCACCTCCTGCTCACGCTGAAATATTACAACCCGGCCCCCCTTGTCCCCTGTTGCCAGTAACTCTCCAGTGTGGTTGAACTCGACTGTGGAGATGATGTCAGCTGGGAAGGAGAAGACAAAGACAATTTAAGTAAGTGCAGCCTGGCTTCCGCAGGCATCCAGAAAGCGCCATTCCCCGCGCAGCTACACGCCCTGTCAGTGCTCCGTCCCCTGTGGCACCTCCATAAATCCCTGTTTTTCTATTGTCTCTAATGCTAAACGGACCCAGCATTTTGGAACTGTGCTGTCATGAGCCCAGACCTGCCTGGTGCTCCTGCCCCCCTGCCCTGGCCTGCGCCCCAACACCAGACCCAGGGGGATTTCCAGGCACTGTGTCTGTGCTAAATGCAGCCTGGGGACTGCAGCTGGCAGCACAGGCACAGGGCTGGGTGGCATGGCAGTGTCCTGGGGAGTCACCCCACCACTCAGTTGGTTCCTGGGACCTGGGGAGGACTCGGTGCCACCAGTGCCCCAGCACCTCATCCTGGCACCTGCCATGGTGCCCCAGGTGTTGGGCAGGTCTCGCTCCTACCTGGCCCTTCTGCCACCTTCTGTCTGGGATGGTGGTTTCCCTTTGCTCTCAGAGGAGAGGGCGCAGACAAATGAGGACACCTTTGTCCTCTGCCTCTGAGCTCTCCAGGCAGAGCAGCCCAGGTGAACACATCCACACTGCTGCTTTCCTCAGCCCATTGCCGAATCTGTTATCGCCTACCAAGGTAAATTAAAGCGACGCCTTTCAGCCCTCCATCAGCCCAAAGGCCACCACGCTCACATCACTCCCCTTCCCCACAAACCAAGGTGCCATCTCCAGGGTGCTGGGCTCAGCAGGGGACCTGTAACTGCAAATGCTTTAATCTGCAGTGTTTACCCTTCAGGCAACGTGGACGGGAGCTGCTAATGACTGGATTTATTGGGCCTATTTTTAGAAGAATGTCAGAGGTTAATTCCACAGCAATTACTGCCCAACTGGTGCTCACCCACTGCCTGGGGAGCCACACTACACCAGCACTGAGCCGGGAAACGGGAAGAGCAACCGCAACCTCGGAACCCCAACACTGGGTGCAGGATGAATTCTGCAATGAGCAGCACTTGGCCATGACAGCTGCCAGCTCACTCCTGCCATTTGCATTCCCTGTCCCTCTCATTTCTGCAGCACCAGGGCTGACAGGGCTGCACAGCCCAGGGCTGCAGCCCCACCGCTCCGCTGGTGCTGGCGCAGCTACAAACACTGGCTGTGCACACAGGCCATGGCACTGCCCAGGCTGCAGGCACTGGCACCTCAGAGCCCTCTAAGCACTGCTGCGGCCCCTCCTGATTATCAGCTCTGTTGTGTGCCAGTAGAGAAAGCCTTGGAACCATATAACCTGAGTTGTGTCCTTCTCCCTCCCATAAAGTTTTATCCCTCTCAGATATAGACTAGAAAGTTACCACAGCAGATCAGAAAAGATGAAATGAAGCGACTGGCCCTGGCTCCTGGTGTTGCTGGGACCACTGAGAGTCTTGAGAATGCCAGCCAAGACAGCACCCAACAAACACATGCCCCAGACGAGACACCTCAGAGCCCCCTCACACGACCAAAGGCTCCCCCAAACCCACACTCCTCTGTCCTGCCCCAGACACCATCTCAGCCGAGCAAGTGACTCCAGGCAGATGTGTGTTAGAACAGCCACCCTGTCCCAGTGGTGGAGGGCACTCGCTGGCACACACCAGTGCCCAACACACACACCACTGCTCACCAAACGCACCAGCACTCACAGGCACACACAGCTGGATTGGCTGGCACTGAGCTGGAGAGCTCCAAGGCAAAGCACTTTGTTCCCTCTCGTGGAACCTGTGTGCCTCAGGCACACGGATGCCAGGAAGGGTTTAACCATCTGCTGCCAATGCTCAGGAAGGCTGAGGAGCACTGCAGAGGGGCTGAGCTCCACTCAGGCTCACACCAGTGGGGTGGGCTGCAGCCAGGCACGGGCAGCACCTGGCAGGGATGTCAGTCTTTTTGGACTAAAGTTACGGAATGGATCTTGAACTTCTTCAGAGCACCTGCTCTTCTCTCTTGGTTGAGTCTGAACTATTGGTTAAATATCATTCCTATTTAGCAAAGTCCCACAACATTGCCAGGGCAGGCATTTTTAATGCCTGTTAGAGGCTGGGGAGGGACACTGGGGCAGGGTAAATCCTATTTGTGCTCCTGGAACCTGCCCACCTCACTACAGCATGTGAAGGTCCCGCAGAGCCAGAACACACCTCTGCAATTCTGTGAAATGGTCATTGGGTCTAACACATAGGAGAACAAACACATCCCTGGGAACATAAGCCAAAGCCATCTCCTGTTCCCACAGTAACTGCAGCCACAGCTGCCAACAGGTGCCACAGCAAAGTCAGACACCTTCAAGAACTGAAACTCTATGTTTGGCACCAAGTCCAGCTCAGCAGCTCAGCCCAGCCCCAGCTCACAGATATTTTCCTTCCTGTAGCAGGACCCCCACCCTGGTGAGTGTTGCTGTGACATCGTGGGCCGAGCCCAGCGTCGCTGAGCTGTCACGTGGAGAACACGCTGGGGATGGGCTTGGAACAGCCCCTCCAGCAGCCAAGGGACTCAGCAGCCATGGCCAGGCAGTGCTAACATGCACCCCTCACTGAGACATGCTTCTGCCTTCTAAAATTACTCAGCTGAAAATGTACCTGTTTTGCACTATTTAATCCTCTCCATCCCCAGCTGCCGGTTTTAGGTCATTCCCTTTTCAATGAATTAAAAATAACTTTCTGTGCTGCAGCGAGACATTTTTCAGACATGACCTAATGCAAATGCATCACCCTGTCAGCCGGGCTGTGGTCCGAGACACCACGGCAGGGCACCACGGGGACCCTTGTGCCACCCCAGCCCACCCACCCATTTACACTGCAACCTGCAGGGAGGGGGGGCTGCAGTCCACATACCCTCCCGGACCTCCTGTTTACTCATACCTGCTGTCAGGACTTCAGACAAGGATAACAACAGAGCCTGGCTAACAACACCTTTCATACCTTAAGAAAACACCCTAAGTGCTAAAAAAACCTCTTGTGAGTAGAAGTATCCAAGTCAAACCCACCACAGTCAACAGGAGCATCATCCCCCGACACCCCAGGGGTTGGGTGCCAGGTGTTCTCCCGGGTGTCTCCAGGCAGTACTAGCAGCCTGCCATGGCACAGGAGAACATCCCAAAGGGAAACAGATGAGTCCTACAGAGGTTACAGCTTGGAAGGACAGAGCAGCACCAGCTCCTTTCCAAAGGTGTCTCTGGACAAACCTGGGCCCCTCCATTGCCAGCGGTCGGTCACGGCTGCTGCCTGCACATCCCACCCTCCACCCTCGAGAGACATGACAGGGTGATTATTAATTAAAACGCACATGTATTCGCGCTGAGATGATCAATAATTTATGCCCATTTCTCCTAAGGTTCCTTCAGCGGTTTTGTGACAACAGAAAGGAAAAAAACCTTCCCTCTTTTTTTGCTTTTTTCATTTCCTTCATCACCTCCCACATGCTCAGTGCCCCGAATGCGGGAATTTAAAGCAAACAGTTTCCATGGAGACCCAGCCCCGCTGTCCTCCCTCCCCTCCCATCCTCCCTTCCCTCGGCATCGCTGCATCTTCACGCTCTCGTGCTAAAAATATCGAAGACGGGATTTGATTTCCGCCGTAGCGATACAGTTTTATCAGAAAAATAGGAAATTTACAATACACCCCCCTCCCCCTCTCCCAGCGTGGAGGAAGGCGTGCTCTCCACCAGGAACGGGGAATGACTGTTATTAAAAAGAAAGGAGATAAACCAGGGAAGCTTATGTCGGTGCTGAGACCTGGATCCCTGGAGCAGCCTTATCCCCAGCAGGGAGCTGTCCCACACAGCCACCCCTCTCCTTCTGACCACCAGGGCAGGGGGCTGAGCATCCCAGGCACCTTGTCCCCGCTCCCACCACGTCCTGCCTGAAGCAGCTCTATGCAGAAGGGCCCTGGTACCACCTGTCTGGGTGGGGAGGCCACGGGACACCACACATGTCCCACCACCCCTGTCAGGAGCACATGGCCCCGACTGGCCCAGTCCAGCTTGTAAGCCCTAGACAACAGCAGGAGTCGATGGTGGCAGGGGCAGCCCTGGACTCAAACCCACCAGCCAGAGGGGTGTCCCGCAGCGCCCCCAGGGGCTCTGCCTACCCGCTGCTTTCCCAGTGGGACACGTCTCCTTTGGGGTGGGTAGTGTGAGCAGGCCCATGACAACACAGAACCATGGAATTGTTTAGGCTAGAAAAGCCCTCTAAGATCATTGAGTCCAACCATTCCCCCAGCACTGCCAAGGCCACCATGTCCCCAAGTGCCACATCTCCTCGTCTGTCAGATGCCTCCAGGGATAGGGACTCCAACACTACCCTGGGCAGTTGTGCCAGGGCTGAACAGCCCTTTCAGGGAAGTAATTTTTCCTAATATCCAACCTAAACCTCCCCTGGTGCAACTTGAGGCCATTTCCTCCTGTCCTGTCCCTTGTTCCCTGGGAGCAGGGCTTGACCCTCCCAGCTCCACCCTCCCGTCAGAGAGTTGTAGAGAGTGTGAAGGTCCCCCCTGAGCCTCCTTTTCTCCAGGCTGAGCCCCCACCAGCAGCTTCTCATCAGATTTGTGCTCCAGACCCTTCCCAGCTCTGTTGCTCTCTGGCACCGGGAATGGAAAGGCTGTGAGGGGCATCGGGACCACAGGTCTGGACGCCCCACTCTCTTTATTATCTGTATAAATCACTCGGTGGACGGCACCACACACAAAGCCTCCAACTGCAGATGATAATAAATCGGGAAGTACCATAAATAACAGCAAACCAGGCTGCCAAATGAAGGATTTAGATCATTCAAATCCCAGGCTATGAGTTGCCAAATCCAGTTTAATGCTGATAAGTGTGAGATAATAACTCACCACAACGACATCCCTCCTCCCCCTGTCAGATCCCCAAACAGAGAGAGGGCTGTGGGAGTTTGCTGAGGGGACAGGGATGCAGCCCCCAACCAGGAGCATGACCAAGCCATGGCACAACAATCCACTC